CAAAGCCTTATCCTCATGCATCTATTTTAAACCTCGTCCTCATTAAATGACTCTGATTTCGGCTATTGTTTTAACCCCTAACGATGGATGTACGAGATGGCTATCACCTTTCCTTGCCCCAAATGCAGTTCTCAAACAGGACGGAACTCCGGTTGCAGTGAAATTGATAAAAGGGATCAGTGGCGGTGCTGTCAAATGCCTTCTTAGTTATAGGTGGGTTTGATGCCTGGCGCGGTCGGTTCGTAAGTGTGGCTGGCGTAAGAGAATGACCAAGAGGAGAGCCGAGGACGTCACTTATGAGGATCAGATGGCTATGTAGCCAGCATCTCCTTAGTCCATCTGTACGTCGCTACTACATTTTCTGCCCTGATATCAAGACTTCCCTCGCCTTCAGAAAAGACTCGGACTGTTACATATTTCACCCAACGCATCGGTCACGTCATTATTTACACAAGGTATTAGGATGCAGTCGTGCAGCAGCAAACGCACATGTCATATACACTTAAGAAATATTTCCATGATTTATGCTTGTAATTCGCTCTCTCTCTCTCTTAAATGCCGACTTTTATTACAAGAGTGCACTTGAAATTAATGAGGGGACTGGCAGGTCACACTGACGGGGAAGGGACGATAAGAAGTGATAGTGCTAAAAGGAATAATCTCTTTTAAAATTCACAATAATTTATAACAATTACACTGTCAACATCAGCTAGATGTAGTAAACTATTCAATTGTTCAGATTTTAGTGTTTTTAATTTAAGCGGGATTATACAATTTTTAAGGTCACTTTGTGATCGCCTAAAGTTAAGAAGTTTAAAAAACTTTGAGGGAAATTTCTTATTGTTAAGGTGGAAAGAATGCTACTGACCACAGATGATAAAAGAACAGTCAGCCAAGTTAGATGTTAGGACTACGGATCAGGCGTTAAGTTGAGGATCAAGTAAAATTTGAATTCTGGCTCTCAGCTTGACTTCTAGAGGCAATGGGAGCCTCAACTCAATAGAATTTGAATCCCAAATCAACAGGAATTCATCCATTTGCCACTTTGTTAACTTTGGCGATGGTAGGCAAATGAAGATTCTCAAATGTCAGGATCAGTCATTGGATCATATGATATAGTCTTGGCTATCTAAAACAAACTAATTGCCTTCCACGCCGTTTAACAAGGATGCCATTGATAACGGTAAATCGGAATTCCCGCCAAGGATTACGAATGTTTCTTTTCTCATGTGGAAGAAATAAACCTGAGTCCTTTCGTCTCGGTGCCCCTGAGCCTAAGGGAATCCAGGCAAAATAGGAGGAAACTGGCGACATCCAAAAACCCTCATTTATATAACAGACTTTCAAACTTGTTCTTAAATCAAAATTTCTTTGCATTTTTAGTCTTTTGCTATAGGTTTAGGGCTCAAGAGGTATTTTGCTTAAGGAAAGCAATGCCTTCAAAAGCACCGTAATCTGTAACTCACCAGACCATAAATAAATTTGGAGCCGACATCTTGGGGAAGACCACCTTAAGGAATACTGCAAAACATCACTCAGAAATTCATTCGTAAAGATTGAAACTGCTTATATTTCCTATTCTCACTACACCCTTTAGTGAATAAAGCCTTTTTGCTAATCAAGTGGGTAAATTGAAATGCATTCCTAGCCTTTTCACGTCATTATATTTGTCATATTTAGTCATAGTTAATGTTCCCACTCCCAGGGACTCAGAGGAACACCGAGTACCGCAGATAAAGTGTTTTATTGTTCCATGCATAGCAAAAACTTGCGAAAGTTGAGCTATCACGTATATGTGACGCTGAAAGCGAAAGTGTTGATTCACACCACTCTAAATCCAACTTAAGTCCACTAACTCATAGCAGCCTTATCACCTCTTGTCGTATAAATGCATAACTCAATTTCATCCAACTGAATTGTAAAAAGGATTAGAGCTCCCAATAAAAAAGGGGATAAAGGAAATCTCCAGAGCAGAGAGAGGCGAGTGAAAATCTTATTTACGCATCGCTGCTCTGCTTTACGACATAATTGCACCAAAAGGGGGAGGATGAGGGGGTGAAACTTTCAGTTTTCTCCTGATTCTTATAGCTCCTGTATCGAATAGTTTTCCTTAGTCTGGTAATGTCTTTTTACCTTCAAAAAGCAATTTACTGCCCTGTGTTGGACTAGCATTTTGGCGAATTCACCGATGACAGGTAACTAAAAGCTTGCAATCGGGAAATCTTTTTGTTTTCATTGAAAACAAAGAATGAATAAACAATAGAGTAAGTGAGCTGATGGTTACCCAAGGGAGAATAGGGGAAGAGAGGGGGGGAGCGAGGGGGAGAGGAGCCAACTGCTGCGTAGTAATGAGATTAACCCCTAAGGATTACTCCAATGTACTCGCCTGCCATACTTATTTCCTCAGATACAGTAGATGTGCAGGTCAAAGGTGTTTGCTAGAAAAGGTGGCTATAATAACTCGCAAATACCTTATCATGCTCAGAGATACGCCTTTTTTATGGTAAGGTTAATTAAAAAGCACTAAAATAGACCTCTGAATCAGCTGCTTAAGTGTCATGCCGGTACCTCTTTATGGGCACCCTTGCTCGTTAAAAGGATACGAAAGTCCAGCTTTAAACTGAAAGGAGGCATTCCTCTCCCTCACGAGGCGTCAGCAACCTATCTTGTCGCGCTCCACGTCAAAGCAGTAAATCAAGGTCTTCCCCACTTTCGAAGGTTTCGCAGTCACAACGGCAAAACAGAGTAAGAAAGTCTCCTAAATTCCACCACTTCTAGAGGAATTATGCCATGATTACCGGAAGACTTAGAGATTCGTGGTATATAGACCATACTCAAGATGACCCTGCCTGACAATAGCATTGCGATGCTGCTCTTCACCCAAGCAGTTTAAGGTTAAGCTAAAATCCAGCCTGGGGTAGTGAGTGGGATAAAACCTAGTTTGTCTTATAAAGAATCCAATTAACTCCATGGTAAGTATTCCCCTCCGACTCGCATTAACGCGTGGTTCCGTACGATAGACTACGTCTTGGTTAGAAGGAAGTCGTTTAGTCAACATATGGAGGAATAAATCTCGTCTGCCGGTTAGTCGGCCAGTCGGTTAGTGACAAGCTCAAGCGCTTACAGCAAGCAGATTACACACAAACACACACACGCAAGCATTCTTCCCGTCAGTGTTCCGGTCGGTATTAATATTTAACAAGACAGGGAGGGGTGGAGGAGGATGAGACAGAGAATGTCTTTGATGGCAAAACGAAGTGTGACAAGTCAGCTAGGCTAGAAGCATGATAAAACACCGCCATATGGTTTCTGCGGTCGTATTACTCGATGTCGGCTATTCCACCACCCTCCAACCTCCTCTTCCTCCCCATCCCCCCTGTCTAAACGTAGTCATGCTTTAATTCCAAAAACTATTCCATTCCTCCTTGGCCCGTTGGTGGGGTGGTCTAGCTATCTTTCAAAAGACGATTTAAACAAGACTCACAAATATTTATCAAGTTTTTACCAGAAACGTTAACTTACCTAGGTGAGGCATTTCCATGTGCTTCAGAAACTCGGCGCGTTTACCTAAGATGAAACAAAGAAAGTTAACCACTTTTTGTCCAACACTTCGATGGTTCCTTAACGAAGGGGATTGCTTTCTGAAATGTCTGTATATCCTGACCAGCTACTATTAGAAGAGTGTAACCACCGATTGAGAGGGATGTACACTGGGGGATAATTTATCATGGTGTTGCAATGCAAGGGAAAATAAGTCACTGTCGCCACCACGACCGCTCTGACAACCTCCGTATTTTTTTGTGGTACATCTAACAAGTACAACTGCGGTACATGACTTCAACCAGAACAATGTGTTTTCTGTCACCATCGCATTCTAATGGTGGCAGTGACCACTTTGAAGCACGAGGCATCTCCATTTTGCGTGTGAGGGTGAACTGGAACACGTCACTCATCGCCCGTCAGCTGTTCTGGCTGCGCGGCCTTTGAAGATATAACTCGGCTCGAGGCTGCTTCATTGCACAGACGATCAACTCACCCTAAGTGCGAGGCTCGGTCATTTTCCCCTCACATTCTCTCCCTCTCCCCTTCTTGTCCTCTCTTCTTATAACGGCGGCCGGTGTTTACGTGAAGGGACGAGGGTATAGTACACGGGGAAACTATGCCATTACTCATATCACGAGGCTTCCCAGAAATGTCCTTTTTCCAACAAAATTTTGCACGATTCTCAAGGCTTATGACTAAGGGTTTTCTTTTGGCTACCACCTTCTTTTCCAAAGATTTTTTTCAAGGGAAGACAGGAATCAAGGGGCAGCATTTGACTTCTCCCAAGGAGGGAGCATGAGACATCGATTCTTTTGAATGGACGGTAAACGAAGCCTACATATAGAGCCCCCCATAGGGGTGTGACATATTTTTCTCCCGAATAGCAATAAAATTGTACCTCCCGTGCATTCCTACATTAGTGACTCGAAACTCAGGGGTGAGAGACTAATGTTTCCGTGCTCCAAATAATTTTTAATTTACACCGATAGCATCATTAATGTCTGAGTCACCGCTTGTAATGGTTGTTTGCGTTTTCAATGAGAGAAGATTAACTTTTACGGCAACACTCTCGGTAGATCCTCCCTACCATGCCTCTTGCCACTTGCTTACTTCTGTTGCTGCTGGTAATGTTGGCGTGTGTAGACAATGTGTGATCTCCAGGTCCTGGGGAATTTAACTTTTTGGCCTCTACTGAAGCATAAAGATTTAGCGTTCCATTGTATTCTAATCGAGTCAGATGTAGTAAATTAACGGTGCCCCAAAAACGGGTTTATTGAATGAGCTATTTGGTACCAAACACAGTACTGAATCTCAAAGTAACTATGATACGGTGATAATCGTGTAAAATTCAGGCGGAATCCAGCAGTAAACATGCTGAATGGGAGAAATAGCCCTTTGGAATCACCATGTGTAGCCAAAACGCCAAACAGTAAATAAACAACGTCCAAAATCTAGTATCATGCGGAAGAGAGTTGCCTACCTTCAACACGATACATCTCATGAATGTAGAGATACTCGGAGTACTTTTTGCCGAAGACTTTGCGTAGTGTCTCCGCAGGCATCATCTCTGGCCACTTCTCAGTCGACTTCTTGTCAGCCGTGTCCTTCTCACCAACTGTCGCCTTCCTGGCGTCAAGTGTGAAGCTGTTGGAAGTATTTTTGGGCTGTGAAGAAACGGTGTTATTAGTTATGGTTTCTTTATTACAAGATACACCGTACTTTTTCGGATGCTTCACAAATTAATGGAGCAAGACCCGATCAGGGGGTATTACTACGGGTTTTAAAAAAATGATGAACAAAATAAGTAAATACATCATTGGTCAGCAGTACTTTCATCCTTTTCCTCTAGAGTAAAAGATTTTCGATTTTTTAAATTCGTCAATGTTTGGAGCACACTAGTTTACCGATTAAAATGTGGAATTTTGTGGTCCAACAAACAGCAAAAGTTGTTGCATTGGGGATATAGATCTACTTAAGCTTTTAAAAGTAGTATTTGCGGCAACCCTTTCAGTAAGAGGTCTTTTAGAAGTCCGATCTGGTAATTGGTAGTAGCAGTATTTAAATGTCGTATAATTTAAAAGGAATGTGTAATATTGTGAACGAAACAGTAAGGCGGAGTTTCTCTTAGCAAACGACTAAAAGACGAGATTCCAAGGCGATTTATTCCTACAGTTCGCATTCAGTTGTAGAAATTTTGCAATTAGTAGGTTGGATACTTCGCCATGCAATACTTTGGCTGTTTGTTTAATTCTTCGTTTTTGTTTCTCAGCAGTTAAGGCTCCACCTTTGTACTTCCGCTGAGCGGCAGGACCTCCCGACCATGTTAGCAGGTCCGCCTTCCCCTCTCTACGCCGCCAGCTTCTTGCGTCCTTAACGAGACTCGGGACGCTAAATTGGCGGCAGCCGAAGGCAAATCCGATTATAAAGGACAACTGCCTTGATTTCTATTAGTAATTGCTGAACCTTAACATGCAACGGATAGGAGAATCTGTAACGACCCCTAAGGCATGGGTTGAAAATAATGTTTACCATGGACAGTTACCCCAGTCCCGCTTTCTGCAGGAATGCTAACAATAGCTGAAGCAAGAGACACTAGTCATGACAGTGAACCGTCTGCGAAGTTCGTTACGAAGCTGTCTACAGTATCGCAGTGAAGATGTCAATTAGGCGAATACGTGATGTCTCATGCATCTCTCTACCAGTCGGATTGAACCCAAACAAATATATGGCTGTGCAGCACTAAAGTTGCAAGAAGAAACAGTCGCAAGGCCTCATCATCATAAAAGTATTTTAAGCCTCGTTCCCTATTAGATGACTCTGCTTTTAGGCCAGTGTTCTAACAACTAGAGATGGATACGTGCGATGTCAAGAGCACTCCCCGTCACCTCCTTACAGTTGTCATACAAGATACAACTCCAGATCCAGTGACGTTGCATTCAGATATCGTCTCGGCGGTAAACAAATCCGATGACTGGGGCGGTTAGTTCGTGAGCGTTTTCTTTACAGCACCGACTACGTTGCGATGGCCAACACGGGAGGTTAATTAATCGCAGCACCAAGTACTTAAGTGCCAGCTACAGTGCTTCCACTGGGCATCATGGCCTCTGGAGCATGCTAGTGACTCCCCGACCCCAGTCCTTTTGTACGTCGACAATATGTATTTTGCCCAAGTATTATGACGTCTTTCGTCTTCAGGCGAGACTCTGAGCACTACAGTTACACCCTGAATGGGACTTTTTAGACCGCTTCTCTATATCTACCATCAATCAGCCACGCGGCTATGGTCGATTTTCATTACATTACCCTTTTAGGTTCAATTTTGAACCCGGATTTCCTCCTGTCCTGTTTTACTTTATTGTGCTATTAAAAGGCAGCTACATTCTTGCGTTAAACAGTTGCCTCCCTCTATGTTCGAAAATGAATAGTTTTTGTATGAAATAAGTCTAAATATAAAAAAGGGAAGCTTTTCTTGCTGTCAACCAATCAATGAAACATTTCTGCCAAATTTACGCCTCAATTTTTGCAGTTTTCGATAAAAAAAATGAAAAAGCGGAATAGTCTTTGTTCTTTAATAGTGCCTCCTTGAGGAATGAGAGCATAGGACTTATGCTGGCTTTATTATCCCTTTATATATCTGATCCAGGTAATTGCTCATTATATCAAAGAATTAAGATTTCTTAATGCATCCACTTATCCTCCAGACCATTACTGATTATCACATATTAGATCACTCGCCACTTTCATCGCCAAATGCTACACTCCATAAAATAAACTACGTGATTAAAAAAGGCGATATAGCAGAACTGGGCCAAATATCTAGAAGTTCACAAGTTAACTCACTGGGAAGGCGTAGCTATAGTAGTCAGTGAGATCCATCTCTGGCCAGAGTTTTGGATCAACGTCATCTAGAACGGAGGCTGTGGGGTCACTATTACCCTACTTCCACAATTGTTTTTAATTGCTTGTTCGCATTTGTGAACACCAGAAGTGAAAGCCTCAATGGAGGATCTCATCCTCTTGCCGTTGATAAAATACTTCAGGGCCATTTCGAAGTCACCTTTTCTGTAGTAGCCCTCTGCAATTAGGAGAATCGCCTGAGGGGAAATATGAACATGAATCGCCCACCTAATCTGTTGTTCCCCCTGAAAGGTGTTGTTTGAAACTCACGTGGGGATTGCGTTTGGTTATCTCATGTGCAGCCTTGGCTAACTCGATGGTCTCGTCGTTATTTGTGAGGAAGAGGTGGCAGGTGGCGCGCATTAATAAACATTCCACGTTTTTAGGTTCAATTCCTTGAGCCTGTATTGAGAAAAAAGTAGCACAGAATTCATTTGGGCACGTAGCTATATCATTTAATGAGTCCCGGGAAGGGTGAGAGAATGTTGAAGCTGTCAGGAGTCAACCTGTCGACAGATGATTGATTAGTTTGGATAGATTGACAAATTAGCTCACCCATTAATCTCACGCTTCCGTGGGAGAACGCGTCCATGACTCCGGCAAGTATAATTATCATGCCCCTAGACATGATCTCATTGTCCGAAAGGCGCAATAAAGCCTCATTTTTTGAGTAACTACGGCTAATCATATAAACTATCGGTACGGCATTAATTCCATCCATTTAAAATGTCATTTTAACTAGACTTAGCTACATTAATTTCCTCTTAAACTTAAACTTCGGTACCGAACCCGACCGAATGAATCGTCCTCACTTCGTTAAAAAAATCAACTGTACTTCAACCATTACTTTCGGTGGAAGTTGAACGTATCGGTAGTATTTTGCTTGAAAAGCGCAAAAAAGGCGTCAGCGCACTCCCCACCAGCACTGACTGACCATGGACTGCAGCCGCCTCCACCTCAATCGCTCAACCATGTAGTGAAATCTGTACCCTCGCGGACTTTGAGATGGCCTGGCCGGGTCATTTCTACATAGACCGCTTGAGTTGGGCGTGAACGAGGACGCACGCGCTAAACTATTAGCCGAGCAGTGGAATCCACGCGTGACCACCACCACCGCCACATATTACGCCTTCGCAACTTGCGTTTTTTGTAAGGGAATAGGGATAGCAGGAGGGAATGGGGTAGGGTGGGGAGGGGAGGGCGTAGACTGCTTCTCCTCGTCCTCATTCGTGAACAAAAGAGACGAGGCGACTGATAAATGCGCCCATCTGAATAAGCTAAGCTGCGAAGTCGTGAATCAGAGTGAGGGAGGGAGAGAGAGAGCATCACGCAATGTGACAGATACTGGTACACATGAGGCCAACGCAGCACGCCATCTCCTTCTGCGCTGTCATGATTGCAGCGCACTAAAATAAAGTTGTTCTGGTCTTCAGAAGTTTTAAATGAGATGAAATGTACTGTAAGCACTCATACTATTTTGAAATTTATGCTGCGGGTAAACTTAAAAGGCATTTTTGTGAAGACGCATTAAAGAACTGAATGGAAGGTATGCAATAGTCGGTCCAGATTTTACTAAAGGTGATATTCACGTAAAGTACGCTCCAGTGTTTATCCTAATGGCGTTTTTTGCATCCAAGTTGGGCGAAAGTCGAAAAGTGGTGTAATAATTCGGCGCGTTATCATACCCCTTTCAAAGGTGGCAAAAAGCACACGACAAGGGATGTTCAACTAGGTTCGGGCCGGTAAATAGCATAATTGTGAATAATTTATTTATCCCGTGTCAAATTTCCTACTTTTAAAAAGGCCGATCCTTACTGTCTCCCCTCATTTCAATAACAGAAACGTTAAAAAGCAAAGAGTGTGCTTTTTTTGCGCTTTGAATAGCTGCTCGTTCAATTATTGGAGTAGAAAAGCACCAAAAAGTCATATATTAAATGCTTGGATCATAAAGCGGCCAGAGAAAGTATCAGACCTAACATATCGTCCACAAATTCAAACAAGTGAAATATTTTTGCATGAAATATGAAAACAATTAAAAGTGGTTTCGAGTGGTCGTTAGGTGATAACGAGTAGCGCAATCCACGGCGTGGTGAATGAGCAGTGGAAATAAAGGTAGTGATAGCTGATAGTAATAGCAGGTCAACTGACTTAAAGGAAATAAATGAGTCACCCCATTTGCTTCTACTAAGTAGATAATAGTAATAAATAATACAACGCACCTTATCTAAATAAAATAGGGCACGTTTGAAGTCCTTTCTGCAAACAAGATGTCGACCAATATTAAGGTAGGCTTCAAAAGGATTGAAAATAACTTCCTCCTCAGAATCCGCTAGAGCATGTGTAGTTTCCATGTCACTACCAAGAAGTGAAAAAACGTCAAAAATTTCAGAACACCTGATCCAGTCGATAATAGCACGAGATTGCTTTCAGTAGGCCAACCTAAGTGTCTTTTATGATTCGCTGCAGTCCAATTCCCTATAATTCAACAACTTTTTACTAAATTAGAATCAGGGCTTGTAAAATTAATCCGTCACTATGGATCTAGAGAAAATTAATTTTCCACTAGCATCATAGTGCAGCGAATCAATTGCAACCATTCACGGACTTAAACACTCGTTGCTGTGTCGTGGTCGTCAATTCAAAGGTATGGCAAGCAGAGATACTTGAACAACCGATTCCCAAAACGCAAGCTTTATGGACTACATTAATTATATATTTGATAACACAATGGGTTTTCTCTAAAGCTGTTATATCCCATAGTAAGGTAAAGGAACTATGTAAATTATGTGAAGAAAGGCTAAAAGTCCATTGGGATGGCCCGAAGGCCATTACACAGAGAGAAAGTACAAACTGAAAGTCATAAAGTGCCCGTATAATTAAGCATCTTTTGGCAATGTGACTTTCCAATCACGTCTATGTTCTCCTACCTCCCTTGTGAGTGGATAATAAGTCCGCTTCAAAAAACGGCAGCAGAGAAAACAGTGGGCTGAAATTATTATGTACCCACTTTGATTATTAATAAATCTTCAGGTGCCTGTATCAGAAGCCTAAAATGCTAAATGCTAATCAAGGTTGCATTAACTTTTGTCAGTTCTCATATCTTGCATTACTATCTCAAATATTTAGTAGACGTATTTGTTTAAATTATTGATTGGCAAAGGCATGCTTTAGAGCATCAGGGCCGTCCAATCGCCGTCGGCAGGCTCGTACCATAAATTTTCGTCTCATTGTACAAAATGTTTGAGGTAGTTCACTTACTTCATAATGCTCCTAGCCTGTTCAACGCCATTCAGTCCATACCCTAGTTTTTCGGTCTCTCAAACGTACACATGACATGTTTGAGGCCGATCAAGTTCGGCTACCAGAGATTGATGAAGAAAGGTATTTACTTCAAATCCATAACTTTCTTTTTTAAGTCATAAAATAAAAGTGGCCGTAAAGCGTCGAGATCAGTATGGTTCCATCTTGAATAAGCCACTGGAACCTGTTATTTATCAAAAGCCACAGCAGAGTAGTTACTTTCTCTCCTTACATTTATTCTGTTAGGTCTTCCCGCTACGGCCACGTCAAATGAAATCATTCCCGTCGAAAAACCGGATGACTTAAGGTAGGAGCATTTGTCAGACTTTTACCCGTTATTAGTGATTTGTCACAGGCTGATACTCAATTAGTCCAAGTCGGCACCGACAAGTTACTACTGCCCAAGAAAGCTCCAACCATGCCAAAACCAACTTGGCATCCTCCATGGAAACTTTCGCGTGTTATTAGTGGCCATTCAGGTTGGGTCCGTTGCATCGCTTTTGATTCAACGAACGAATTCTTCGCTACTGGGGCTGCGGATCGGATGATTAAGGTTTATCAAACTCTGAAGGAAATAATTTTTCTGTAGATTTGGGATTTTGCTAGCGGCTACCTCAAGCTCACCCTCACAGGTCATATTAGTGCAGTTCGTGGGGTTGTTATTAGCCCTCGCCAACCCTATCTCTTTTCTTGTGGTGAAGACAAGACGGTTAAGTGTTGGGACCTTGAGCAGAACAAGGTCATTCGACACTACCACGGTCACATGTCAGCTGTCTACGATATCGACCTGCATCCTACACTCGATGTTCTAGTCACTTGCGGTAGGGACGCCACTGCCCGGGTGTGGGATATGCGAACCAAAGTAGGTTTTTCGCCTATTCCTCTTGCCTCAATTAGACATGCCTGTAGTGTTTGGACAATTTGGGCTTTCAAAGGTTAATATCCACACGCTGAGTGGCCATTCGAACACGGTTTCCTCAGTACGTTGCCAAGAGTCCGACCCACAGGTTATCACGGCTTCGCACGATGCTACCATTCGTCTGTGGGATTTGGCTGCTGGCAAGACCATGGTTTGTCTTACAAACCATAAGAAGAGTGTCCGCTCTCTTGCCATTCATCCGACTCAGTACGTCACCCTCTCATTATTTCTGCAATTGAATGGTTTGGTGGTTATGCAGATGGAGCCTATTGTAGATGTGTATCACTATGATTACCGTAGGTAAAGTTTGCAAATACTCAAATGCTGAGTAGAACGTGCTCTGCATACCGGAGCGCTCAGATATGTTACAGACCGAGCTTAGATTACCGTAATTAGCTAACATAATCTGTAAGCTTGTGTACACTTAGCTTTTGGGAAGAACCATAGTGATACCATTGTGACATCGTTATTATGAGGCCAACGATAATCTATCAATGATTTACGTTAAAAAACGTTATAGTGAGCTTCATTGCATCTGGCATGCAGCACTTGCCCTAGGCATGGACTCGTTCACTCACCTTGTCACTGCGTGATGTGATAGTGGGAAGCTCAATTGTACCAGTCAGCATATTGAGGTGACCTTTCAAAGCAAGAGAAAGCAGACTGATTGCCCACTTTTTTCATGTGTTGATTACTTTGGTGATGGAGATAAAATCCTAGTTTTCATGGCTCCATTTTCTTCATTTGTCTGCTTAAAATCTGATAAAAATGTCACTGATGTTTTACATTCTTATTCTGAAATATTTATTTCCTGTTTTGGTGGAATATGCAAAGAAAACTAATCCCTTTTCACGATTATGTACTTGTTACCTTCCTTCCTATGGCTTTCTCCGATTGCCACTACGCGCCGTCTTTTCTTGTCTGTTTTTTTGCTTCATTTAGCTATGGCACTTATTTATACCTCCGTTTTTGACAAACATACGGCTCACCCGTTATTGGTTAAACACTTACTACCCCCAGTGCACCGTTCTTGATGTTGTCAAAGTCGATAAACCCTGTCATAGTTTGTTCCTTAATCGTGACCACTTCTTCAATTCCGGCTGAATGTGCCGCTGTTGAGTTATTTTTTCTTTAGTCTGAAAACGATGTTTTTTTTTCAGAAACGCATTCATATCTGCCTCACCCGACAACATTAAGCAATGGAAGCTGCCGAACGGAACGTTCTTGCAGAACCTATCAGGCCACAAGGCCCTCGTAAATGCACTAGCCATCAACATGGACGGTGTTGTTGTTAGTGGAGGTAAGGTAATCTTGACTTAATTTTGTTTCGATACCGTAACGTGGTTGTAACTGCTTCAAGGTGGTTTTCCATCAATTCACATTATTTTTACAAAATCTGCATTAATTGCGGAGGAGTTGATAACATCGCTGCGCTAGATACATTCACTTGTCAGCCAGATGTATCTTAGAATTTCTTAAAATAAGCGCCATCGAAATTCAGACTAATTGGCACCCAAAATACCTTGCACTGCACAAAGGAAATTCACAGGACTCACACCAGTTTTGTATTTGGTGCGAATCCCAGGCGACAACGGTAGCATGTACTTCTGGGACTGGCGCTCGGGATACAACTTTCAGAAGCTGAGTTCTATCGCCCAACCGGGTAGCATAAATTCTGAGGCGGGCATTTTCGCACTGGCTTTCGATCGCAGCGGCTCCCGTCTGGTCACCGCTGAAGCCGACAAAACGATTAAAGTATACAAGGAGGACGAGACCGCTGTAGGTGCCCGCTTTTTCGCCCTGTTATCGCAATTCTGTGAAATTTTATTCTGGATTTTCGATTTTCTAGACCGAAGAAACACATCCAACGAATTGGCGCCCGGGGATTTTACGGAAGGCCAAATACTAAACATTGTACTTATCATGTATCTTTTTTGTTTAAGATATATAACAACAAAGAAACTAATGGTGTTTTTCTTTTGGCCCTGAGATGACATATTTGCGAATCTTTGGAATGAAGAAGCCAGTGATTATCATAATGATAGCAACACCTGAGAGGGGTAACGTATTCTCCTTAATTGATTTTTCTGGGTCGATTTGGGATAGGAGAGTCCCGGCTTGAACTGTTATGAGATTGTACGGTAGAAGACCTAAAATAGAGGTGAATACGTGGAACCCGACTCTTCTTACCTAGCAGGATAGTTGGGAAAAATATGTGGCAGGGAATACCGACAATTGGGCTCAGAACATTCAGTAACCAGTTTGGCGATACGGGAAATAATCTGCATCCAAGGAGGTAAAAGAACGGGCGGTTCTTGTTGCATCTGACCTAAATCAGCATCGATACTACTGTTGGTGAAGTTACCACTTTGCTGAGTTGGTCTATTTGTTTTGAAAGCAGCAGGTGAAGCAGTGGTTTACAAAAATACGAACTGAGGATGTAACAAGCCGTAGCCCCGACGCCAGTCATGATACAAGTGATGACTAGGCCCTTCGCCGTGCCGTAAAGAGCTCCGGCCAGTAGATTCTAAAGCAGATGATGACGTCACTGAGCTCTCACCATGAAAAAAGACCCAGGAATGGCAAATGCCTGCTTATACAGATATGCAAGACAGATACGCAAAGCAGGTCAATGTGCCACGGGTAGCTCTTTTTATAAAGTTGTAACTGATTTGCCATGCTTAATACATCTCTTCCAGATGATGGAAACTTAAATCTGAAAATATTTAAGTACGACCGTTTTACACTGTGATATTTATCCCATGTTCCGCATCGAATCGAAATGTTGAAATATGTGTGACAAGAAGATGCAATTATTGCTGTGTAAGATAAAAATATTACAGGGAGAGCGAGAACTCTAATCCAAATCAGACATGATCCAGACATCACGTAAGGTTAGTGCATCTACGTACGATAGCTTTAATTGGTTAACGCTGACTTTTAATTAAAGACCGAGTTTTTTTGTCCAGTAAAACGAAGAAACGATCTAGTTACAGAAAACGGAAGTCGTGTATTAGTTAAGGGGCAAAAAGTCTATTTAAACCCAAACAAGCTGTAAATTATTTTTTTACAAATTGATCTTAGCGACTGATAGTAGGAAGATATGCACACACGATTGTGTACATTAAGACGTTTTAATCTAGAGTTCCAGGAAAGTTGTGTAAGTCAAACGTCCGGTCAAATAAATTAAATCAAAGGAAGCATTTCTAGTCCAGTGTCGCCCCTTTTCCCCACAAATAAATCAAATCTGTGGACTGAGAAATTCCCTTTACTCCGTAGCTAGTATCATTCCACTTGACCATCTGTTTCTATCCAATTTTGGATTATCAGCGCTATTAACATCGTATTCTTGTCGTTTTAGCTCCCATTACGGGGTCCATTCCCCTAAATAGTGAAGTGCAGCTAGAGGAAGTCATCTTGCACTATGAAGCATGGGAATTTTGCAGTGTTTATGTCCTTTTTAGGAAATCATGCTACCAGCTTAGCCTTAAGACGAATGCAATCTGACCCCACGTCACGTAAACGCATTGCATAGGTTCTGCTGAATACCTCACCTGAATACCTATCCAAAGTTTTTGAATGACGACTGACGAGGTGATGATCGCAATTGTAGGACCGTGACGCAGCACCAAATAGTCCTGACAGAAACTGCGGGTTAATATAAAATTGACATACTTTATGCATAGCGATTTCTTAAAGCAAAACTCAACTGAGCACTCAAAGAATTTCCAAAATGCGGTTTATTTTCTGGCATGACCAATCCTGAGTAACTCTTGTGCTCAATCGGAAATAGTCGTTCCTCATACTTCTCTAAAACTAAGATTTTTGGAAATGATAAGTAAGGTGTTTTCTACTTTTGGGACAGTCAAGAAACATGGTACCTATTGAGTCCAAAAACAGGTGAGGATCCTCTGTCGTAGAAATTAGAAATCCACCTTTTATTGGCGTGTTTTACATCCGATATTCTTCTTAAATAATTTATGTATTTAACCAATCTTCACATGATATATTATGCGTCCAACGCGTTACACGCAGTAGTAGGAATTAAAATACTCCATGAAGAGGCCTCATTTCTAGCTCAAGATCAAACAAACTCATCTGGACAAAAAAAGCTGATTGGCAAGAACAGGCGGAATTCATACATTTTTGCCAACAAACACTTACACACGTGCTGCATTAGGTAAATTTCTGGTCTAGGAATGGACAAAAGGACTCGTGGATTCAGTAGTGCCTTTAAATAAACAAGTAAATGATTTAAGGGTCATAATTGAGCATACGATTAAATAAACTGGTTTGGTGCACCATACAATCTATGTAGCGTCTTGAGACTTCCCTGAAGACGAAAGAAGACACAATGTACATGTATTCAGCACAGAGAAGGTGTTTGGGCTACTGGCATGGCCCGAAGGCTAGCCCACACAGCAAGGTACAAGAGGGCTAATTCAAAGTACAAAAGTGGCGTCTCACCAATACCGAGGGATAGGCCACTATAGTATTACACCTATGTGGCCCACCAAGACTTCCCTGTAGACGAAATAGGGCGCGATACCTGGGCATAGAGAAGACCCGGAGGTTACACTGTCAAGCGGAAGTGCAGAGGTGGAGCTTTAAGCTCACTTAAAACCAAGACGAAGAGTTGAACAAATAATCAAAATACTACAGGCACAAGTGTGTAAGAGTTCGTTCATTGTTTGGCCAGCCATCATTTAAGACTACCCAGTCGGCGGACATTGGTTGTCACTTTTGGCTAAACCCCTTTTATAAAGTAATACCAATACCAAACGACTGCATTGTTTTCCTTAAATAAGAACAAAATCATGCTAATGCTCTCTAATGCTGCAATTCATTAGTCGGCTTTACCGGATTGGTCAAAAGCAAGGCTCATATTTCCCCATTCGTTTTCATGGAGAATTTATGTGTTAGCAGCTGGAAGGTTTAGACGGAGCACCAAAGAGAAGTTCATAACATTAAATGCAAGGGAATTAAGGATAATGTCAGAACTAGACACGCTCAACAGACAAGTGTTTTCGTCCATTTATTCACTGCCTGAGTGGACGAAAACTGTCTCCCGAAAGGATAATGGGAATGAACATATTGAGTGGTTTAACCTACATAATTGTACCAAGTATATCCTTAAAAAGGAAATTAATTTGGCACTGTAGGGTTTCAGCAATCAAAAGTGTCACATTTGAGTAAAGAATTTGGTCAAGATGTGGTGTAAGTCGAGTAGGAGGTCATTGTAAAACAGCTCTTATTTAGCAAAGTAATTTTGGTGTTCAGAAATTATTTACAGTGCAAATTAGCTCTGTTGAACAACAATATGAAAAAGTAGTGAAACTAAATCTTATGACCGCTCAATTTAACAGTGGCTTTTGAGCATTTTGATAGAAATGACACTTTTAGCGAATTTGACAAAACACATCATAGAGTGAAATTAAAATTGGCTTGTGCATTAATTGATGGGGATAGTTTTGTGACTCAAACTTCTAATTGGATGTGGAGAGCATATGAGAATACAATTTCGCCTTGAAGCTTCCAGGCACTTTCCCGACGAAGAAAGGAGACGTAATACTCGAGCAAATATGCATTACGGAAGGGTTGGAATGAGGGACTACTGGCATTGACCAGCAGGCAACACCGTGCAGTGGTGGTATAATGGTGGAGACATAAATGCCGGCAAAACCCAAACGAGGAGTTAAGCAAGTAAACAAAGCATTACTTGCCCCCCACCCCTTCCTTTTGGCTTCGTCTCCGTCGCTCCTCTTAATCAACCTCCGGCGTGAGCATTATAATGCGGTTAGCGGTTTAAAAAAAAACATCCATTAACCAACCGCCCCAGACATCGACTTTGCGTGCGACTGAGAAGACATCTGACTGAAAAGTCACTGGTCTCTCTTAACAATTTCACTGAATCTAGAGTTCCACCCTGTTTGCGGTCATCTCTATGTCCATCAACAGTCGTAGAAAGACAGGTCTAAAAGCAGCCACCTAATAAAGGATCGGGTTTAAAATATCATTTAAAAATAAGGATTCGTGTCTGTTCCTCCTTGCTTTGCTGGTCTCACTTTAGTGATGTCCAGTCATATCCACCTCTCTGGGTTCTATCCATCTAGTGGGGAGGTGGAGGTGTCATGTGTCTACTTACTTGACATCTTCATATTGGTATTGTAGACGGCTTCGTGGTTCATGGCCACGGATTGTAAAGCTTCGGTTGTTGATAGAATTCCTGCAGACCACGGTACTAGTGAGTAGTTGCCAAAGATAGAAGGGACTTTCAACCCATTTGTTAAAGGTCGTCCCATCCCCAGCATATGCCCTTCTTCCTCCACTGTAAGGTTTAGGGTTAAGGAATGGGAATTGTGTTCGTTTTCCGCTCCAAGCTTTTTCCAAAGACGAAGGAAGACACAATACTAGGGCAGAATGTGTATTCCAAACTTAGAGAAGGGCTGAGGGGCTGTCAGGTTGGCTTAGAGGTCATGTCACTTAATGGAAGTACAGTTAATGGAGCCTTCAGTGCCTGTGTAACCAAAACCGAGAGTTAAAACATCAGCCAAAGTATTACAGGTAGATTAGACTTCGATTGCACCATGTTTCCCCAGCATTTCTTGCAAAATATAAGGATCCCAATGGTGAAATTTCCATTGAGATGCCTAACTCAATAACACCTGTGGGCATAACCTTTGATTTCCCTTGTAAATTTTAACAGCCGAAGCGCAATTTTGGAGGTAGACTAATTTTAATGGAAGACGGCCACCCGCATTCCGTGTTAAGCGAGTCTTAAACTAATCGCCTTTTAGGGATATTAATGAGCCCTCTTGGTCTTAACCCTTCTTAAAGTTCTAACGCCACATTTGATTTCAGAGGCTGATTAGCTTGAGTAAAAGCGCCTTATTTATTTTGTTAGTAATAGAAGTCCTAAGTAAACTACAGCAGTTTATACAGATTATGCAATTTTAAGCAAGTAATTTACGTCAGTTGCCTTTTGGATACCAAGTGCTTTGGATGACACATAAATCTTCTTCATGCTGTATCAGTTATGTTAATTTGACAGGCAGAATTTTGACAGCATACACAAATGAGGTTCTTTAATATCAAATGCCAGGATTGAAAATGGTTTATTTCGCTGCGCCGACTTATTGTAACTTGTAGGAATCCATAAAATACATGCGATTGTTTAAGCACATCACAGTAAACTGGTCAGTTTACTACCACAGTATCTTTCCCTTGCATCCTCTGGTGGTTTCATGTTTTCTTTGCCCCCATTAGAGGTTAGTTAAGCGCACTGGATGCAATTCCAGCTCACCTGCTTCGGAAACCGAGTTCAAATTGGCTCTCCAGTCGAGGCAGCGGTCGAGGCCTTTTATCGCCCTTGTTGCATCACATTTAAAGAAGAAGAATTTCCCATAAACAACTGGTCTCACCTTTTACCTGGAACTCGGGATAATCTCACTCATGAATGCATCTCCTTCAGGGAATTTCTCGATTTCTGTCGCTATTGATGAAACCAATTAAAGACTGTCGTATCTAAAATTAACGTTTAGTGATGTTTGAGTGAATAAATAATTCTTTTGCAGCTAAACCAATTGGAAATGGGAAGTCATGGAAGTTAAGAAGCAAGTGGGTCCCACCCACATACATTAAGAGATGCAAACAAGACTACCAGTTTTTGCTACTTCTTCCCACCTTAGAAACATCTGATGTTGCCAATATTAGACAATAGGCGATTACCAGATAGATCTCTTAGGAGTTATTCACTGCTATCTTTCACTTCTCAAGCAGATCATAATGGCTACTGTAGCATCCTCTGTATCACTTCCTATTCCCTTGGTGGCAAAAAGATGGATTTTTGACCATGACGTTTGGAGAAAGGGCAATGCCCCCCTGGTGCAACAATAAACCACCGATAGGGAGGCCTATTAAATTGGTACATATGGGTCTCAGTGGTTATGGCGAATCAAAAAATAATGGATTTTAAGTGGTGGGGAGCTTTTGCGAAGGACGAGAAAAAAACACCCTAAAATGCTCTTCCCTTTCCTCTTTCATAAGAGATCATATACTTGGAAGAGTAATTCTACTATTTTTCTTTATAAACACGCTTAAAATGCTGCATAATTACCTGGAATGGAAAAATCTTCCCAATGATCTAGTGGTCTGCACTTGGAATGCTATGTTACAAATCAAGACTTCCCAAAGACGAAAGAGGCCATAATGGGAGGAAGGAATATGTACAATCAACATACCGATAGGCTGAAAAGGGCCAGTGGTATGGTCAGGTTAAAAGGCTTAACCAAAACGAAGAGTTAAAAACAAAGTATTCCATTGCCACTCTCCCATTTTGAGCCTCGTCCTCGGTGCTCCTCTTGGTCTACCTCCCACCTCAGTCATCACAATGAAGACGATGGTGTAAGAAAATTACAAACCAGTCGAGCTAGCTGTTGAATTTTCCAACAAGCGAAAAGGTATTTGACCGCAACCTCACTGAATCCTCCTGACAATACCATTGAAGCTGAAAATTTCGTCCTGCTTGAGAAATGCGTTAGGAAGGGAGGACTGCATCCACCAACCCGTATGTCTATCGCTAGTGGTAAGAACATTGTTCTAGAAGCAGAGTCATTTAACAAAGGACGGGATTTAGAATGGTTTCATGGGAAAAGGTTTCTTTTCTATTCCTCCCTGCCACTTTGTCCTCCCCTCGATGTTGCTCACCCATATCCATCTATCTATCTGGGTTCTGCCCAGCTATTAGAGATGCGGAGGAGGTATGTTGCATTCATTTAACTGACACCGTAAAAGCAACGATGTTAGCCCCGTGACGAACTTTAACGAGAGGTTAAAGATTACAAAATCACTCGCCTTAGCTGCTAATAACATTGGTGCCGATCACGGGCCTGGAGTAGTTGCTACAATAGGCATTATTTCCATTTCTTCTGTTAGAAGTCATCACGAATTCTGCAGTCCGCAGTATATGCTCTTCTTGCATTACGTTAAGGTTCGACTATTGGCAATAGAAACCAGGGTAGTTGTTCTGTAGGATCAGGTTTACTTTCTGCTCCGCCTCAAGACTTCTCTGAAGACAAGAGGAGGCACAGTGCTAAGGTAGAATGCTAATTCCTGACACGCAAAAGGGCTAAGAGGGCTGCCGGCATGGCTGTACCCTTCAGTACCTGCACTATAAAAATGGTAAGATAAAAATTCAAAATGTTACAACCATACTAGACCGATAGAGCCAATGGCAACGTCAAACAAAAGCAAAGTTAGCGAAATTGAACGTCTAACCACATTTACATTAAGATTCTCTTCCCTCAAAATGGCTAAACGTAAAATTAGTAGAATGCTATACCTGTTAAAATAGTACAGTCATTCTTGTCCACGTAACCCGAAAATTTTGCACTTGTTTCTCATGAACTTTAACTCAAACTCCCTTTTGAGCAAACATTTCTACAATTTAATTTTTGACAAGGTGTGACATCAAAAGCCCCAGTCCCCAATTCCCCACCTTAATGTCACCTGTGTTGTCACCGCTTTAATTCTGTGGATGCCCTACAAGATGGATTCGCTGCGGTTCTCAAACGCTACTACAAAGGAGGCTTTGAACATTATGGAAACAATGCTTGAAAAGGGTGTCAGTAAATCAGCAAAGGAATGAGAATTCAATTTATGGAACCTGCATACATGCTCTAGCTGGGTAGAGTCCTTCATTTTGGGTTCAGTTAACCTGTAAAATGGTCTTTCACATGAGAAAAGGGCTTTATTTTGCCTTTTTTTAAGGCACTTTTAACTATTCATATATTTCACCCTTAAGTAACCAAAAGAGAGTGTCACAATTATGCTAGTCTGGTAATAAACCTCACAATAATATCTATTTGGATGCCATTTTATAGCAATGTGATTAAAACCATTCAACTTGACAATCTGTATGCGTCCAATTTTGGGATGTCTCACCAATCCACCTCTGGCATTGGTGAAATATTTCCGCGGTTGGGCTCTTCTACCTCCCTTTTCAGACCCTTAAAATCGCGGAGGTTGGCAAGAGGAAGGCATCTTGCACTGCGTAGTATGGGAACTTTACAGTGTCAAAGTTTTATGGTGGGACAGGGTTTAGATCTTCTTTTAGAAAACCGGTGCCATCCACATAGCTAAGAAATTGATATGGTCGAATTGTTTGTCATCTAAAATATATTGCGCAGCTTTTACCAAATGCTCCATTTAACCGCCGATATGGAGTGTGGGAACGACGCCTGACGAGGTGATTTATGGCGTTGTAGAGATGTGGATCAACGGTGAGTCATCTTGAAAAGTGTAGTGAAGTAGCTTCAAATCATAATATTTTTGTCTGGAACAGCTGCGTGCCCAAAACTATCATGAAGATTCGAAGATAAACTGCAATTGCATTGTTGGCTCTTGTCTGAATAATCATGAGTAAGTCTTGTGCCTAGTCGTTAAATTCTTTCCTCAAAAAGCCACTTATGCAATCTATATGTGTACTAGGTAGAGTAAGGACTCAGTGTTGATTGTTAAAGAGGTACCGTTTTAAAGTTTATTCTCCCCGTTGCAGGATAGTTGGATGGCATAGACCCAAATGAAGTCTGAAAGCATAGGGTAAACAAGAAGGGACAGATAAGGGGCGTAAAACATGGCTGAGGCGAGAGATGTTGGACTAATCAACAGAAACCGCCGACACAATTCATTTAGCAAAGTAGAAGGCTTTTAATAACTCCAAAGGCGTGCTTTAGACGGCATACGCTGGCTGCTTGCTCCTGTCGATCGTGAGGTGCCAAAAACAACTTTTATTATGTGATGTTTACGCTTTACCAGAAAATATTTTGAAGATTTCGTAATGCTCTAATCACTCATTTAGCCCTCCATCTTGACTTAGCTGGTACTTAAGGGTCCGCAGATCGTACTTGCACGGATTGGGGTGGACTCCGTACCACGCCAGTGGCCCGCCATTCCAGCCCTTCTCCTTGTCGGCAATCCTCATTCTGCCCTAGTATTATGTCTTCAATCGCCTTCAGGGAAGTGTCCGGGCACTACAGTATATGTGGCTTGGAAAAAATGCTCCCAAGCCATGTCACTCGTTATGGCTATGAGGAAAGGGCACTGTTGACGCTTAATTTAAAGATTTTCATGAATAAAATTATTGCAGAAAAAGTAAAAAGGAGCGATCTTTTTGGCACTAGTTTAAATTTCAAAGGCAATATCATTAGCAGTAGTTTATGTCGGCTGAGATGATTTTATAGCTCACCATACACTATGCTGCACCATCAAAAGCTAACGTACATAACTACCATAATTCACCTCCTAGTGAGAAAGGGACTCATATGATCTGAATATTTATAAAATAGAAACAGAATTGCCTCTGGAATACAATAAACAACCCTTTCTAGGCGAGTCGCTGCTCAATGAAATGTTGAAATCACAACATCTAAGTTTTACAATTTAAGTTTAACGAGCACTTTGGACTCCACCTTTATATTTCCGCTGGGCGACATGGCCTCCAGACCGTGCTGATAGGCCCCGCCCCAGGCCTTCCACAAGTAAGTAATATGTATTCTACCATAATATTATGACTTATTTTGGTTACGGAAACGACTTGAGGGGCTACACTGGTGGCAGCTGAAAACAAACCCAATTTCAAAAGTCAATTACCCTGATCTCTATTGGTTGATGCTGGACTTTAACGCGAAGGATGAAGGGCACGTCCTGCGGATTGGACATTCTTTGACGATCCCTAACAAAGGAATTAAAAATAACGTCCATCCCAATCCCGTAATTAGCAAAAATGATGTTTACGAAAGATACGGTAGACATTAGCATCGGCCGTAAACTACTTGCAAAGTTCGTTCAGCAACTCTCCACATTATCACCATGAAGATGTCAATGAAATGCTCACCTGATACCTCCTCTACCTCTCTTCTAGCTGCGTAGAACCTAGAGAGCTAAATAGATCTGGGCAGCATTGAAGTGACAACAAAGTAGCAAAGAGGATCAGACGCGAAATCCTATTCACATGCTAATATTTTAAACCCAATCCCTTAACAAAGGGCTCTGCTTTTAAGATAGTGTTCTTACAAATAGCTATGGTCACAAGTGATAAATAAAGCACTTCCCCTTCCCCATTACAATTCTCAAACAGGACAAAACTCCAGATCAAGTGGAGCTGCCAAGAGAGTTTAGAGATGTTGCAGTCAGATATTTGCTCAGATGTATGCAAATTGGATGAATGATGCAGCTAAATGTTTTGTGGACGTTTTTCTTACACCACCGAATACGTTATGATGGCCATTGCGGGAGACTGATCAAGAGGATCGCCGCGGAAGACGCTCAAAAAAGGAGAGGGGCTATGTAATAATTTGATGAATTGTTTGACTCCTCGCTCTGGTTTCACGGACTCTTAAGGCTCCGTAACTGTACTTCCGCTGAGCGTCGAGGCCTTTGCAGTATGCTGAGTAGCCCCTTAGTCCTCCTTTACGCCTGGCATTCATATGTGGCCCTGATATTCTGACTTTGTCGTCTTCAGAAAAGGCTCGGGCGTTAAAAGTATTTCATCCTTATCACCCCCTCTACATAAGATACATATGTGACATGAGATTCCCATCAGTTTGCGATAATTGGCCTCCTCAAATCGTGTAAGAACTAGATTGATCGTACTCCTAACAATAAAACAAATATAAGATGTTTCCGATTCTAAAATAACTACAACTTTCAATACTTCCAAGCTGAATAAGGCCGTGTACCGCGATGGGTGAGTTTCCTGTGAGGCCCTTGTAGCTGAGGTGTTAGTTTACAATAGTGAATTTGGTTGAACTGCCTACAAGAGAAAACATACTGTTTTGCTTTCGTGAATACAAGCGACATAGTTCCATGTCAAATATGCTCACAGATTCTCAGGTTTATAATGTTTTTGCCTCATCAGAAGGGAAAAAACTCCGTAGAAAACTAACCTTTGTGCAAAACAGGAAGTAAATAAGTGGATTATGGAATTGTTGCTACGAATTAAGAATTAACTAAACCATTGCAAGGAAAGCTGGGGTGGACCCTATAAACCATCGTAAACCCTTATTCCTCTTAAAAAACTAAAATTGCATATCTAAATAAATAAATCTTTTAATGGCTCCACAAAATGGTTCGAAGGGATTCTTTATTAGGGTGTTTATAAAATGCACTCATTAATTACCTAGTGTCTGGCTATTCAGCACCCAAGTCCATGAATCGTCTCCATCCATTATTATATATTCCAAATGACCCACCATGCCGCCTCTTCACCACTGGTAGACAGAACCTAAGCGCTATTCAAGATATAAAGTTGGCTATGAAATCTAGGCAGTGCAGGAAATTAAAAATATTTTAACTCTTCTTGCTGGCCTCTCCACAATCTCTTCATCTTAGATTGCTTAAATTTTTCCATCGAAAATACTGTAAACCAAAGCTGCGCTAGTTATCCAACAGATGCAATACAACAAACCGACATATTCCAATCTGTCACTTTTGAGGTTGACAGAATGTATTCTATTTACAGATACATTTTAAGTGAGATTCTGAGAACTGCAACCTTTTGGTATAACACGACCGTACAGAGGGTCAGATTACATCACAGTGCGGCGGAAAGAGCAAGGAAAGGTTTGTACAGGTTGAGGCAAAGTGATCACCACAATCGCTTAGGCATGGCAAAAAGGAGGCATAGAAACGGAAGAATTGCGGTAACAACATTTACGCGAGGAGAATCGACCGCCGAGGTTGTACTCAACGTCTCTATAAAGAGGGTCCAATTTTTGGCGTAGGGAGTTTGGATCCACTTCTGCTCGCTCCGCCTCTGTCCCTGCTGTTTCTCCGTCGGTGAGTCCGAGAGTACGACCCTAGATAAAGCTGGGAAAAGCGTTTGGTCAAAAGGGAATATTCGGTTATAACCCCAACCTCGATGAATCTATTTGATGTTATGATTTAGAGAAAGTAGATTTTCGTCTTCTGGGTCCAACTTCGTAAAAAGCAAGAGTTTAAAGCGAATAAACCTGCATACTTTCGAACTCAAGAGTCCCCGTCTTTAATTTACATCCTCCTCACTTACCCGGCGATTTAAACCTCAGATTGCATTTGATTGTCAAGTCCTCTCAATTGAATCATACCTAAAATGACGTTTTATCTAATTCCAAACATTCATTGCAGTACGCAAATTCTATCTCTTTATAGGTAAAGCGTATTTTTTTGCAAATTCATCACCATCTTTCCGTCTGGACCTAAAGACACGTTTAGGGGCATTCGCAACTTCCAAGCACCAAACGGAAATAAGACGTCGGTCAAGGAAATGATTACGGAAGAAAGGCATAAAAGTTTTTTATCGCTTAAGTGAAGAAAGCAGTATACTGGAAAAAATACTTTTGTTTGAACTTTCATGAGTGGACGGAAAGGCCGTTATTCTTTCACGACACAGGCCCAGGATCCTAGTCCACAGTTGGTATTGCCATCGCGGCAGCACTAAAACAGACAAAAGGCTCCTTAAGCAATGTTTGTAAATCTTCACTTTGCAGTGGAATATGGAAATACAAAGGTTCTTTTATTATGTGGGGTAAAGAACCCTGGGAACTCGTCATAATCGTGCCGGAGAATGGTGTCACTTAACTGAATACGTGGTACCTCGACCTCTTTTCTAGATAGCTAGAACCCATATAATTACAAAAATTGGCAAGGGGAACGAAGGAGAAGCCTTAGCCCACTGGAACTATTTCAAACCCTGCCTTTGCTAAATGACAGCCCTTTGTGCAGTGTTCTTACGACTAGCTATGGACACGCGTGTTAATCAGCACATTCGCCCTTCCCCAATGCAGTTCATAAACTGGATAAAATGTCAGATCCAGTGAAATCACCAAGAGGAGTCGGCGACATTGTAGTCAGACCTCTCAGATGCACGCAAATCCGATGACCTGCACAGTTAGTTCGTGGCTGTTTTTTTTACAGGACTGACTAAATTTTAATGGCCAAAGCGATGGAGTGACCAAGAAAAGCTCCGCGGTTGATACTCAAAAGGGGAGAGAGGGCCTATGTAGTCCTCCAGTCTTTTGTTCAACTCTTCCTTTTGATTACGCAGGCATTTTGGCCTCTGAGCCATGTGAGTAGTACCACCAGCCCTTCTTCACGTCGGGAATACATATTCTGCCCAAGAATTACGCATTCTCTTGTCTTCAGGAAGCACTAGGGCTGCTGCTTTTGCTATTGGAAGCAATCGTATGAAAAACATTATCTTCACAAGAGTCGGAGTATTTCATAGGTCATTTTGAGGTGATCATTTAAAGTATTGTTGTTGAAAGCCTTCTAGATCTTGCAATTCATGAAAATGTAATCGTTGTTTCCTGTGAGTGAGCGTACGCCATTGGCAAGATCCGGACTCATATGACCTCGACGTCATATACACCTTTATAACACCTGTCCAGTAGAAGATATCCTCCTGTAACCGATCTCTTTAAATCAAGGATTTGAAGGCAGTTAAAGAAGAGAAAAGCCCCGAATATTTAACAAACGCGCTTTCTTTGCACAATATCTAGTCTGGAGGAAGAGTTCAACACTTGCTGCATTGCTTCTACTTTGCTCAGCACAATGACTAAATAGATACTCAAAGCCGGTGTCACAGTGTCCTGTACAATTCTTTCTTGCTTACCTCCTTAACCCAATAAATGCCCTTTAAAGTCCTTTCTCCTCGATTATAGTAGGCCTTAAAATGGAAGAAATTTTTTTTTAAGCTTGAAGTGAAATTTTACAAACCTAAAGTCCATGCACCCTGTAATTATATGACATTAAAATAATGTGACATTTAGGTCTGTCAAAAGCAGGGCAGTCTGTAATTCGGCCTCCTGTCTCCCACCAGGAGGTCAGAATGATCAGAAATAATCCCTTTCGCATTCTTCTACTTCGCTGTTATCTTCTTCTCAATACAGTAATTATAGTCTTTCATCTAAAAAGGGACTTTCACCCATAGGTCAAAAATAGCCCAAAACGAGGGAGGTTGCATGCCTCTCTGTAATCGCATCTCCAAGCATCTAGGCAGTTCAAAGCACTCCGGCGAAGAAGCATGCTTTAGTTTTTCCACTAATTCATGACCACCTAATAAAGAAATAGCTTAATTAGTAGAATGTAAGTGGGCTAAATATATCCCCATTTTATGTCCTACATAAAAACAGGACCACTTGTGCCAGTTTCCTCGACACCGAATTGGCTGAAGACTTGTGCCCCTAACTGTATGGCTGTTATTAACTTGCTTAATTTGTCAAGAGTTTGAGAGTGACCCCCTTTGGGGGTAAGCCCAGGAATAAATCAGACGATGCTAAGTTGGACAGACCACATGGATGTGTAAACATCCGAAAGAAAGAGCGCCCAAGGATGGCAGTTAAAATTGAATGCAGAACTCAGTTACAACATGGAAAATGCACCAAAAAATAAAAAGGACTCCCTCTATCTCCATTTATGTACCTGTTGGATATGGACCCGGACAATGGTATGTGAGGACTATGTGGTATGACTACCTTGACATGAAATAACCTGCTTAAATCTACTTATATGCCTATTAAGTAGCCATGCAGAGCCTCAAATCATGGGCGTTTCGCAGGGGTCTTTTATTATTTCAAGTAGGTTCCATCTAACACTACCAACAGCAAACACCATGGAACAGGGGATAACAAAGAAAAGTATCATAAGAACAATGTAGTATTTTAAGTAAAAAGCAGATAAAATAAAAGTCATTCTGTGCATTCTCCATGTTCACCAAACAGTTAAAAAGAGGGAATGGGAGTTAGGAGTCAGCTTGAGGTATTAAAAATCAGATGTACGCCCACTATTATCTAGAATTTCAATAAGCTTTAAGTCCGCAGATTAGGGGAGGAGATAAGGTGCTTTGTGAACAATTTAGGATTGAGTTTTAATTTGAAAATATGCATGCTAAAGAGTATTTCAAAAAGATGCATAGGCAGAGCAATAAATGAGGGACATAAAATTAGGTGAAGGTAATTTTATCCTAAATGAAATTACATAAAAGGATGTAATACTAGAGTTTCCCTTTTGAATAACGAAAACAAAATGTATTGATACAGTAGAAAGTACATCTGGGTACGCAGGCCCTATAAGTCGTCCGCAATGCCGTTTGCATATGGGTTCCGCTACCTATCGACTACTTTGTATATCTATAAGTTTTGTCCAGCCCAGTGCGGGATTAGTGGGTCTATGGCTGAATTGAAACTATATTCAATTTGCCATACAATCCCAGTGGACCGTTCTAAAACAGCACGTATAACGTTTCAGCATCATTCTAGTGAAGAGAACGATCTTGGTACCTAGCGTACTCTGGCAGCTCAAAATTGCAGATACTGGGAAGAACCAGTTTTTTGCAGTTCTCGTGCTAACTTCATGATAGGCGTTTGTGCATAGATAAGGCGTTACACAGCCCCTGCAAGTTGGAAACCAACTCGACTTGGATAATTAGTAACAGATATACGACCGTCATTAACATGTTTGCACCAGTAATTGACCTTATTCCTGAGTGGCTGAGCGCCCAATCAGAGAGTAGATTTCTACTGGTTCAGCATCTTCAATAACAAGGATCTACATAACCACATGCCATTCCATGGACTCACTACCCCTTTGATAGCACTCTGGACTAAGCACACATGTGTTCGTTATAAGTACTGAAACCTGTTTTCCACTCGTTACTACACACAGGACTGTTATTCTATCATCCTTTTAACACCCGCTGAGCCCTGTGTCCCCAAATGACCTGAACGTCTTCTGTTTAATGTCACTTGTAGGAATGATTTACGTGTTACTACAAACGAATGACATCTGCGCATAGGCTTGAAATGACGCCAAAATGACAACTTGTACCCAAGATTTATCATGATCGAGTGACTTACCTGTCAAGTCAACTGTGAGAGAGTCATAAACTCTTGACCGTTCGTTCTGTCTAATTCGATGCGCCTGGCACTCGTAGAGTCCAGTGTGTTGGTAGTCGCATGAATGGATTTGCATTACTGCATTCATTTGCAGACCCTCCTCTGAGTAGCCAAGAATTTCCTTGTAAACACTCACATTATTCCACTCCTGACTCTCGATCATTCGTAGCGCACCTGTGCCCCGATGACCCGAGGGCGAGCGATACCAGTCAATGATGACTTGAGACGACTCGTCGTGGGTTATCTGCATTGAGCAAGTAAAGTTGGCTGAACTCTGTCGGCGAGCGTAGCGTGGGGCATCTATCCTAACTGACAACGGAAAAATTTGGCTTAGAAGAGGAATGAGACCATCAACATAGATGCTCAAAAGCTTTTAAATACAAGACACAATCAAGAAGCTCCACTTTTTAGGAATCGCACCCAATTTGTTTACTTATTCATTAAAATATCTTCCAGGGTATATAGGTGTTACCTGTGTTGACGTTTTATTGACCACAAGACAAGACAGTTGGGAGTTAGAATAGCTTAGTTGGTTCATTGACCAACTCACCTATTTGCTTAGGAGATACACGTATTTGAGGTATGGATTCTAAAAGGGAAAAACGTTTCTAGTCAAGTCATGTTTTCCAACTACTGGTAGCTAGAGAACTGGTGAAAATGAGCTTGCCATGCCTGTTAAAGAGGCTAAGATTTATGGATTTTGTGGCCTCGTAGGCGAGAGAAAAACAATCTCCCTCTCAAACAAATCTAAGCAAAAGAACATAATGATTGTTCCACTTCAATTTCTATTACTTTCATAAACATTTTATTCATTTGATTTTAAATCTCGTAACTAAAATCACAGTTAGGATTCAGAGCCCTTGTCCACGACCCACTTTTTACAGAGAGTTGGTAGAGAAGACTCTGGGGTTGTTCTCCTGTCAGTCGGCAGTGGTAGGCACCACTGTCACTCATTTGCAGACCCTCGACAACAAGTTCCCAAGCCTCGAAAACATCACCCTGATCAGCGGCGAGGTGACTGAAGTAGTCTCTGGAGGAGGGCGGGTTGGAAGAAGTGGGGGCTCGGGGATATGAGCATCTGTAGAATCTGTTGCTGGCAACGTCAAATCGAGAGTCCATGGTAAAAAGAGTACCCAGTACGGCAATCGTTGACATGTTGTGGTCCCAGATGACCGTCTAAAGTAAAGGTAGGGCAGTTATTTTTTTGTAAAGGCCCTGTCAAAAAAAGTTAACAAGAGCACTTACCTTGTATTATCTATAGAATTAGCTTTTGACATTTGTGTAGTGAATATTTTAGGCCTGAAAGTTAATCTATCATGAAACGTTTTTCTGTTTAAAATACAAGATAAGAATCGCTATTTCGATGCGGTGGTAAAATTGCAATATAGATGTTGTAATGCTTCAAAATTTAGTTTGACTCTTCGTTTATATTTCACTGGCTCCGCCTTTGTACTTCTGCTAAGCGGGACGACCATGTGACGACCCTCACCAGAAGGCTAAAAATGTCGTCTACCTTTGGAAACTACCACAGTCTCGTGTTCTGCAGAAAGTTTGTTAACAATCAAAGCAAGCGACTCTAGCCTTTGCTCTGAGCCATCTGGAATAGTTCGTCACTGAGCTGGCTGGTGTGCATCCACAATTCAACTAGCTGGATGGAGTTCCAATGGATATAGATGAGCAACAATAAAGTAAGAATGACAAGGAGGATAGACACGCAACTTTATCTTTGCAAAGTTATTTTAAATCTCATCCCTTTATAAATGACCGCCTTTAGTTCAGTGTTCTTATGACAAACTATAAGCAACCGTGATGGATATCAGAGTCCCATTCCCCAATACATTTTCCATACAGGGCGCAATTTTAGATCCGGTAGAACTGTCAACAAAGATCAGTGACGTGACATTCAGGTGTCCCCTTTGTTGCACGCAAATTACATGACTGATGCGGTTGAGTGGTGGGTGTTTTCCTCCCAGCACGGACTACGTTGCGATGGCCGCAGCGGAGGTTAACCGAAAAGGGTATTAAGAATGACATTCAAACGAGAGAGGCTTTGTTGATACTTTAATTGTAGGTTTACCTCTTCGTTTTTGTTACGCGGACGCTTAAGCCTTGGCCCTTGTACTTCCGCTGGGCGACATTGCCTCCAGACCATGACAGGAGCCACTCAGCTCTACCGAACGTCGACAATACCTTTTCTACCCCAGTATTATAATTTCTCTCGTCTTCTGGGAAGTCTCGACATCCATAAACTCTTCAGCTCCCCTTACTTGAAAAGAGCAGTGGACAGAAAGCGAAGAAGGAAAGCCAAACTTGAATTCTTGCTTAAACAGGCCCCTTAACCCTCAAGATTAACCAAATTACAGTAAGCTTCTTGGCTTAATGACCACTCAGATAAAGGCGTTTTCTTCTGCGTTTTGGCAGGCATTTTTTTATTGGAAGATCTGTTCACTTATGGCCGCTTGAAATTTTGCTTATTTAAATGTAAAATCTTTATTTAAGATCCCGGGATGTGTATTTCTGCGCAGTTACTTGGAGTCAGTCTTTGTTTCACAAGTTCATAAACCAAGATTATTCAAAAAATATTGCGACGCAAATTAGCTTAGACATCAGGATTTAAGAATTTATAAGCAAGACTCAACTTTCTCAGGGCATTTTTGGTGGTAGGTAAGCAGGTCAGCTGCGAGTAGATGTGGTTTTTATAGGCATAATTGGACATCAAATTACATCTAATTGGGCAAACTGTTCCAATTTTCAAAAGCTAAGGAAAACTCAAAGAATTATTTTAGGAAGAAACAAGTACGCGAAACCGGATTTAAATTGTCTGTTGCAAATTCAAAGACAAATGAATCCCCGTTGTGAAGCTACTGAATTAGTAAATAAGTAGCAGTGTCTGGATGCATGTAAATAACGTTAAAATAAATTTCAAAGAAGGAATCGTAACTTCTACTTGGAATTGAATTAGATAATTAAGAATGATATTCCGCATTTTAATAGCCCCTGGTAATAAAACAGAAGCAAGCACTTTAATAAGAATTACTGAAGTTGTGTATAAAGTAATTACTTATATAACCTGTGACCTAAAGGAAATTCAAAAAGGCACAATTTTTTTGTTTTTTTTAAAGTAAAAACTTGAAACTAGCGCCATAGCAGTCTGAGAATTGAATTTTAATTGAACACATGGCTAAGGTGACGTGGCACAAAAGCACCGTCTCATAAGTAGTATAATCATTATTCCAAAAGCAGCATTTTTCTTTTGAAACATAATATTCCGATTTGATTATTTTTTTGATCAGCAGAAAAAACAAAACCTGGCAGATAATCGCTACGACACAGTCAAGTAAACTACCGCATTGTATTACAAAGTAGGTCAACGAAATTAACTTAGATGTGTTGAACATTTTTGCAACGACGGAGTATCTTTATTTCTCCTTACAGCGATTGCCTACTTTATTCCTATTTTACAAAAAAAGTTGTTTTGAATTTACTGCAACAACTCAGGTTCTGTTGGCCTGAAATTCTTGAGTTGATTCTTTGTTAATACGCATTCAACTCAAACTACCGCTACTGTTTCTAAAGGCGGGGTATTCAAGGTGGGGAAGCACTGAAAGGGGAAGGTTTTATTCTGCAAAAAGTAAACACATTAAACTGCCGGAGGCAAATTTGAAATAGTATTTAGGGCACAGGTGTGGATGGATGGTGCAAACTAGAGGCGATGGGTGATACAATGAGACATGGGCCGAACATCAGGGAAAGCTAATTAACCGGCTCCCAAAACGACAGAGAAGACTCTTGGCTTGGAGGGTGTGAGCTGAAACGATTCACAAGCACAACTCAGTGATTGAGCTCAACGCCATCACCGGAGTACAAAAGGTTGATAATGATGCCCGGATAGATTCAGCTTTCATCTCAGAGCCTCCAACTCACAGTGAATGCTACGCATCTATCATAGATGCCAGAGATTACTTGTGGTTTATGCACCGATTTAAATTGAATCTGATGTCTTCTTCACTAGGCCACGTTGAGGATTTTCAACATCTTGAAGTCAAATAGCATGGTCTCCGGCCTCTTCCTGTCATATCTCGCTCTCAGTTGCTTATAGCAAAGCCTATGCCACATCCACGGATTATGGTGAGTTTTCTTTTGTGAAATGACCACAACTGAAGTACTTTTGTGTGGTCATGGGGACTCCAAAAAATAAGATAGTTTGTCAAGTTTTGTACTTTGCGCTCACAATGCGGCAATCTAGCATGTTCACTATATTGACTGAAAGGGGTAGGTGGTATGGTTGAATGAAAGAAGGTTACAAAGCCAAATTGACGATCCACAACCCAATTTTTGGCAACCACCTTCCATGATGGAATTCCAACCCTACTGGAATAGAGGCACTTCAAAGCATACTTAATGCTGGAAGACAGAAATAGCTACCATTACAACCTATCATCCCTTCTAGACAAAAACCATGCCTCAAAATTTGTTCTGCAAAAACGAAAACGGAGCCCTGAATAACCCCTTCCATAACCCAATCCCATTTCACCTGCCCGTGCCACATATTTTCCCACGATAGCTTAATGTCAGGGAATGGGCGGTACTCATCACTTGTTAAAACACTGTCGGGGAAATGTGGAGGGTGCGGATGCGACAGCAGCCCTCTCCCACCCTAAGCAAGGTTGCGGAGTTACGAGGTCTTGCGTCAGCTTAGAGGATAAAAACAGCACTTCCTTTCCACTGATTGACTAGTGCTGGCTCTTTTTATAAAAGCAATTTTTAATGTACGTGGTAAGGGTGGACTGAGTGGACAGATTTCAGATTTAATTTTTGGTCGTCAGGAGGTGGAAATCTCACAGTAAAGGACTCCGCCTGCAGCTCATGACATGGACACACAAAGTAGCCACAGCCTTGTGGGAACGAAGTGATAGGTGTCTTAGAAGTGCGAGACAAGTGTAGAATGTATCCGGTGAGAATGACCAATGATGTGCGCGTTCGCCTAAAGTCTGTTTGAATGCAACAGGATGGAAAGGGACATTGCATCCGCAGCGAGGCGGGTGCCACTCAGTAGTGGAGGCAAAGGTAATTTAAACAGCAGTCACAAAAAGAGAACAAACCCAAACAAAAATAAGCACTATTTACTAGTATTAACTAGAATTACGACATAAACGGTCATGCCGCGATCAAGAACAAGGACTAGCCAAATACTGGTCGACTTGAGATTAGTTAAAACCTGCCTCTGTACCCGGACAAAACGCAACTTGAATAGCTGTAATTACTCATTGCTATTGAAGGCATTCATCCCAACGAGTGAGTTCGTATTGCTTTATTTCATAGCCCCCAGGTGGCCTATCTCTAAGAGATAACTATACGAGAAGCAGTTAAGGGACTTTAAGCTCCAAAGAGTCGTACAATGCAACAAAACAAGCTACCAACTCTCTCATGTTGGAGTTTCTTTCGCAGCGGCCCATGAGGGGGACACAGAAGTCCAACCTGCTGCCCCTATTAATTCTTACAGTTCAGTTGATTTTATAGAGCTTAAATGCCAGGGTATTACATCTCATTTTTGTTTCCGGGAGGCCTACTTTCGTCTCTGGTGCGTCTTGCAGGACTTTGGACATCTCCCTATCTTCTTCAACAGAGGGAAACCTCAGCAGGCATACGTCATCTAAGAAGGCACGTTTCATCAGACTGAGTATCAGGACAGCATGTAACCCTCAGCAACTCTATTACGACTATATCTAAACAAGAAGAAAAAGAGGTAAGTTTAAACGTCACCAGCTCGCCGTGAGCAAAAACTCAAGTTATCTTGATCAGCAGTGAAAATCTTCTCTTAGTTGAACGTCGCCTTGATTTCCGCCATGAGGTCTAATTTAGTAAATAGTTGGTAGTGTTTGACTGCAGCACAATCAAGAGCTACCTCCTCTTTTGCAGTGTCAACATACTCATAAGCTTCACGATGTGAGAAATAGCGTATGTCTTGTCCAATTAAGTTTTCCTCCCCTTCAGGTACTACTTCCACATAACCTATAGTCATTTAATAATTCATGGCTTTGGTACACTTTTATCGAAAGAATTTGGTATCATCAAGATGTTTCTTCAAGCCGATTAACCCCCTAACAGCCCGACTATGGGTACGTAGCAGGTATTGTGACTCCAACTTCTATGGTAGTGCCGTTGCATGTGGTCTTCACTAATTTAAAGTCGAATACGTGTTATAGGCTTGCTTAAATTTAGCCTCCCTTGTTACATTTTTATCCAGAAGTTTGACACCCTTTGAAACTTTGACGCTAATAAATTTAGTCCCACTCATCCTATCCAATTTTTACTGGATATGGACCATCCGGTTCACCACGTCTTTGTTATGTCGCCCAATGGACCTTGGAATTCGGCTTCTAATCAAAATACGCACTTTCCGTTCATGCACAAGTGAGAGTGGTGCCTCTTCCAAGTGGTTTCAGTTATGCATCTTCAGCTGCTAGCGTCTCGAAGGCTCCAAATTTAGTGAGGCCTTTATAGATTTATCTCGATGCACCAGAATAACTCCTTCATAATCAGATCACACCAAGCTGAACTTTACAAAGCCGACTTATAATGCAGGTCTGTCAGTGAAAGTCTCAACAGTGAGTGGATCATTAAATCTCTGCGGGTTCAGCACAGCTGGTAACAAAGCATCGAAACAAGTGTTGACAGAACCACAATTCAGGAAGGTGTCTAAAACTACTTTGCCGAGGAGGCCATGAATACGAACCTTAAGGATCCCAAAAGAGGCTCTTCAAGAGGATGAGGTTTCAGGTAAGATGCCCACTGATAGTGGCGCCTAGAAGATCTAGTGAACCCGGTACCGTTCGTTGAATGGTTCGACTGATAAGGCAGTGAATGTTGTTACCCATTCCAACTTTCCACTCCGTAAAGTCGATTTAAGCAGCGCAGCTTGAGGCCTTACACGATCCTTTTAATTTACTTTCTAATTGACCTTTCAACATTTAGATAGTAGAGGGAGCAGTCTTAAAACTTTCTTCTCAGTTGTTACTCGAATACCCGTCAAAATGCAGGCTTTTAGGTGGCAAAGATATCAAAACAGATGGACCGTAGAAACATCCGTAAACTAACTAATTTTGTGTCGTTACTTGTAAGGTTTTATTGGCCTGGAGCAGTAACCTAGTCTCACTAGATCAGAAGCATGACAAAAGTGGGCCACAAAAATGGACGGCTAAATAATCTAAGTAGGAAGCAGAGTTTATTCAGCCAGGCAAGTAAGCTGACTCTGCAGATTGGCAATAGTTATAGCTGTAATAGCGACCATTTAATCACAATGACAACAATGGCAGCGATGCGAATGCCGCTCGGCGATAGGGGCAACAGCAATTCAACCATCATTGGGAGAACAATGGAAGAAAAAAGAGAAAGTCATGAAAAAGTCACTCTAATTACCAGCATTTTTATTACCACAAGTCTGTTGGTCAGTCAGGAAAAAGACAATCAAGAAAGAAGGCATGTTTTTACTTTAGTAAAGGAGGTGGAGAACACACGGCTAGCCTTATAAGCTTACTGTCATGTAGTAATGCATGTGGGTGGGACCCATTCGCTAAATAGCTTTCACGACTTCCCGTTTCAAGTTGGTTGTAGATGTATGCTAATTGTTTTATCACTCAAGCTAGGCTAAAAGCAAAATTTAGGTTTCCCTTGATCTGTCATTCTTAAAGTGAGCGATTCAGTACCAGAACCAAATAAATGGTTTTTACTATTTTTGGGTTACTGAATTCAGCAGTTTATTCAAATATTGTGCAGCACCCTTGGCAGAAGTCCTCGGCTTCTGCTTCAACTACCAAACCGATCTGGACCTAATCTATCAAATAGACGAGCTCAAAATCAGATCCTTTAAAATTTTACTCAACATTTGATGATACGCAGATTTGTAATAAGAGAGGGCGCACAATACATGGAACCATAGCTTTCTCATATCCCTTTACCCTCTTACAAGTTCAGAGAGGTCAATGCAAAGAGCCACACTGCAAAACTCATCACGATTCCCCTTAAGAATTATTCAAATCACTTCGAAGAAACCAATATTTCCTTCGCTCACACTCACTTAAGGCACGTTTTTAAAATCCCACTAATATGCTGCCAAATAAAAAGATGTTTATGAAAAAGCAATGGCAGATTTGATGATTGCATTCATTTATTCTCGTTACACTTAGCTATGCCTCCCATTACTTTGTTACACACTCCCCAACGAAATTATGGTCTTGTGGTTCGTTTGGACTGCTTGCTGAGCTTACTGTTTATAATCCACTTCGTATGGTTAATAATTTATTCCACTGTAACATACCTCTAAATCAAATGTAGCACTTAATTATTTCTGGTGAAATAAACGTTTAAGGATAAGAGATAGGAGACTGGACAAGATACCACGTTTATTGTACAAAACTAGCTATGTCCAGGTTTTCATCTAGGAAAAAAAGGCTAACCTCTCCATTACTATGCAAGAACCCTCCTCCTTAATTAAGCATGAAATGTAGTAATGAAGGAAGGTGGACTTTTGGCATGCTGCACTAATGCCAAATGAGTGGCCCTGGTCATGGGACACCAGAGCAACTCTGCCATTTGTCACAATGCACTGGGGCAAAATGCTTGCCCTATGCCCTCCCTACTGCTGTTGATTGCTATTTCCGAAATTGCGCTTTTGTAAAGTGACAAAAAGGCACTCAGGTTGGGAAAAAGCTCGTGTTTTTGATCAACGAAAGGGGAACCGACAAGGACAGCCACTAGCATCAAAAGTAAAAAAAGTGGGATGTGATGCGGACTTTGCGCGTTATATCACCGATTTTCCACCTGAATTTTAACGATAGTAAAGTCATGTAATATTTGACTAGTTTATTTAGCTCTTCGTTTTAAATTTGCGGGCACTTAAAACACAGCTTTAGCACTCCCGCTGGACGGCATGTCCTACGAACTATGCCAGGAGCCTCCTTCTGGAAAGCCTTGGGGCTATGCATTAGTGGCAGTAGTAAGCAAACCCGATCGTAAGGGATAACTAACTCGATTTTTATCCCTAGATGATCAACCTTAACTCGATGGAAAAACGGCGCAGACTGCGGATGGAAGAATGTGTGACAACCCCTAACAAAAGGACCAAAAACGACCTCTGCCTTCTTTAACTACCTCAGTGGCCCCGTGTTCTGCAGGGATACCATTAAAATATAAACCAACTCTAGCTGTGGTCGCAAAACATCTAAAAAGGCTCGACACATCCGTTTACGGTACCTGTATCAAGTTGTTAACTAAGTGAAAAGGCGGTACCTCTTCCACCTCTCTACTATCTGGATGGAACCCAGATAGGTTTGGCTAAGCATCTTTGAAGTGAGAACAATGTGGCAAAGAGAAATAGACGCGAAACCTCGTTCCCACGAAACTATTTTAAACTCTGCCCCCATTTAAAGGACTCTGCTTGTTAGCCAGTGTTCTTACAATTGGTGATGGACGCAGGAGGTGGTCAGCTTAATTTCCCTTTCTCCAATGCACTTCACAAACAGGTTGATATTCCAAATCCAGTGGAAGTACCAGGAGGGGTCGGTGACGTCACGGTCAATCATCTTCTCAGCTGCATACGAATTCAACAATTGGTGCAGTTGATTCGTGAATATTTTTGTCTGTAATGTACCGACTATGATGTGGTGGCTGAGGCTGGATGCTGGCCACGGGGAGCTCCGACGATGATTTCAAAAGCAGAAAACTGCCATGCAGTGCTTTGATAATTCGTTTAACTCCTCGTTTTTGCTTCGTGGACACTAAGGGCCCAACCTCTTTACGTCCCCTAAGCGACATGTCCTCCGGACCATTCCAGTACCCCCTAGGCCCTCTCATACTTCAGCATTTTTGGAGAAAACTAAGGGCGCTACTGTTAATTAAAAGCCAACTTAAAGATGTAATGTTTACAAGAGTATATATAATTTTAGACCGGTTTTTTCTTACTGTTTCTGTGTTTTTATTGCACAAATCCCTGCCATTTGATGAGCACAGTGTGTTTACTTTAGTAATCACTAGGCTATTTCATGAACAGGGAGACATACTCCTTCCAACCGATGGCATAGAAAGCCACCAAACTGTAAACTGAGTCACCCAAATTTCCTTTCATTCCCAGTATCAGATAAGCCCTGCTGCGTCGGTTAATCTCTGTTTGCAAAATTGCCCTCTTCCAAATACCCCAAGTGCGTATTCACGACAAGACCACAAACTCACCTCATTTCGAAGTTCGTGAAGAGTGTTGCAAGGTAAATAGACGATGCTTCCTTCCTTTGCCTCCATCTTAACTCGGTACTCCCCTCCGTGTAAGCCCTCATTAAGTACCATTTGAGTTGGAACATTCTTCAAAGCAGGCTTCAGCAGACAAGGATGAGGTCCACTTGGAACTACACAGTCGGTAGAGCTAATGGCGATGCGTCGGGGATGCCGCAACATCTGTGAAACAGTTCTGGGTACAGTTGGCAGGGCTGTCCTCCCTTCGACTAGTGCTGGGAGAGTTAATTTTTCTAAAAAAAAGAATAAATGGGAGAATTTGCGTGGAGAAGTTAAACGTGGTAAAGCTGTTTTGAAAATTCCTGAAGCATTGAGGTACATTTGTTTTAAGGCAGCTGGAATGGAGGTGTGGGTAACGGACACTGACAAGATATTTAATATGGGCTTTAATATTTACAGGCAGTTGTTTTATTCTCGGCAAATATTATTAAGTTTATCAGAGCTTACACGCAAGCTGGGTTGCCAGGTCCATTTATGAAGTGTTTATACAACCGTAAAGTAAGTTGCCATATTCCCTGAAACACTTTGTGGGGCAACTCCAGTGCCTTTCAAGTCAAAGTCAAGTGATTTTAAAGCTACTTTTAAAGCACCGATCATGAGGCATTAAAGTTAATTGTTTCCTCGCTTCCTACCGCGACACGCTACTATCACCAAAACCGTGTTAGCGACTTCCATGGCGATGTTGTTAGATTAACTCTCTTAGCCGGCTTAGATTATCACTCCAGCCCATTTTTAGACTGTCCAATTCATCGCTGACTTGTTTTATTTAACTTTTCCAAAGTGTATCTTACTGAAGGTGGAAGCAGTCACTCTATTGAATAAAGTAACCCGGAATGAATATTTACTCAGGTTCAAGTGAATACGCCCAAGTGGTGCTCCTCCTTCTCCTCCTCCTCCTTGTTCAATTTATAATAAAGTAGGAGTAGTTTAAGTGGGTGATTGGATGTCCCTAGAGAAAATTATAACTTTGCCTACAACCACGACTGTCAGTTCAGCGATGATTTATGCAAAACCACTGTCTGTACTGCGTCTCCATGGTGGTGGCATGGTGATGGCAACTATCAACTATTCTAAGCCTCATTCATACATAACCACCACGGACAACGTGCATGCCAAATTTTGCTTCTTGCTGTATATTATGATGAGTTATGCTAAATCGTTTTGCCGACTATAAATGGTTCATCAAAACTCCCTCTAATCTACCTGATCACGCAGACTCTACAAGTTGGTGTTAATGGCTACCATAAAGTAGACAAAAGCAAAAACTTTGCGATCTCGAATAAAAGTAAGTGGATTAGGCCACATGGCGGAGCGCTAACCATTGTCTCAAGGAAACAAGGGCTCCTTATTTCAGACTTGAACAACCAAACGGGAAACACAAATATGCCAGGACACATTAACAGGTAAAAAGAGGTGCCTTTCAATTGAGCTACTAGGCGCTCTCTACAGCCACCTCTGTCAAGTAAGGAGACAGAGTTCATTTACCTTAACTCAGACCAAAAAAAATACTTCGTCCTGATAAAAGCAAGGGATAGTATAAAAGTAGATTATAATTTAAAGGGGACGTGTTTAATCTAAAACTACTTCTATCTAATTTATTATAAAATTGTCACTCTAGGTGCTTGCCACTGATTCAAAAATCACATTTCCCACATTTTTTACGGCAAAAAAGCATGCGACAAAGCGGAAAAAGGCGCCTCTTGAATCCGACAAAGGCAGTTTCAATACTTCGAAGGGCAAATTTATTACTGAAATTTAAAACTTCTGGTGACTAAGTTAACTATCTTACCGGGAGGAGGAGGAGAATAAGAAGTTCCTAAGATCGTACCCTTTTGAAAGGAGTGGTTGTCTTTAAAACTACTTTAAAAAATCTGATTTAAAGCATTATGCACTTTTTATGGGTTTCACCTTTCCATTCGCTGCAGAAATCACAAAAACGTTCAGAAAATTTCCAAAGTGAACCCATTTTTCGCCTGGGTCATATCTTACCACGTTATCAGCGTGAAGCGAAATGAGTTCCGAAACAATGAATCCACATTGTGTGATTAAAATAAATTTCGGCTCACTTTTTTTAGTGTCAAGATGGCAAAACTAGTTCAGGCAAGCATTTATTTAATTCGTTTACAAAAATTTTGCTCTCTCACAAGATTACCTGGCCAACCTTTAGTGGATTTGGCGGTTTTACTGAATAAAAAACCTGGGTATTAAATAGGGGAATTAAAATGGTGAATTCAACATGCAACTTTTCAGGGTATTGATGCTGTCTCTTACCTGTTGCAATGGAGTAGTTAAAATCGAGATCTCGAGCAAGGCACTGAGCCCATAGGAGCGTTTGAATGAAAGCCGACAGCATTATGCGACTGAGTTAATGAGAAAAATCCTGACGACACAATGCATATTCTTCTCTGGCTGAGTGGGGAACTTGCAGAGTGGGAGAGCTGAGGCCATCATCTAAGAAATCATAATTATCTGCAAGTAGGACGCTTCAACTATTTCAGACGAGACGTGAATTGCGGCTCGTGACTACCTCGGGATGGAGCTCATTCACCTACTCAATGGCCATTGGTCGAGGTGAAACGCTACATTGAATGAGTCGAAATGACTCCTATTATGATTGGACTGTAATTTTCAATGCCAGCGATGGGTAATGATTACCCCTTTTGGGCCTAAGCCATAACGACACACTCTTATTTGTGACTTTTGCAAGTTAAATCATAAAATCTGCTCATTCTCCCCCAAATCAATTAAGCTTGGGACGTGGGGAGGTTATATATAATCCTAAATGACTGACTTATAGTTGTAATTTTTAGTCTTTCTATTTCATGTAACGGTAGGCTGCTAGAGATTTCCGTAAACAACTTTATCAGAAGGTAAAGCTATTGTAAAACCTAATAGATCATGACTTTTTCTTTCCAAATAAAAATTAAAAAATCTTATTTAATACATGCAGTACTTTGATTGTTTGCTTAACTCTTTGTTTTGAGTTCTAGAGTACTTAAGACCCTGCCTCTGTATTCCACAGGACGGCATGGCCTCTGAGTCATGCCAGTAGCCACCAGCCTTCCGTACTTCGGTTATACAAATCCAGTCTTAGTGTTATGTCTTTATTCATTCTCAGAAAAAAAATTGGGGATTTATATAAATACAAATATTTTTAAGCAGCGTATATCAACAAAAGTATGGGTCACGTTTGTCTGGGCTATTTGAGAGATAGATCTTGTGACAACTAGTTGAAGCAAAAATGTGTACCCGCAATCCACTCAGATCTGCATTTAATAAACTTATGACCCCGTCTGAGGTCGTGTAAAATGGTTCCACTCGGAATGCTCCATAACCTCTGCATTAGTAATGAATGAGCTTATTGCCCGAACCTTAATTGACTTGGAGATTGACAACCTGAATGGCCTACTATTGTACCAAAGGTCATTTGAATTTCTGAATAACGAATATTTAAGTACTGCAACTTTACAATTTACTGGCATCTTCAAAGTCTGCTGCCATCTCGGAGTCATTTATAAAAAGCGAAATCCATTATGCTCATTGCTCATAAATTGGTAAAATACCTTTGGTAGAGAGACAGGAGTTTTATGTACATAAAGGCCATTAAAAAGCGTACTTTTAGTAGTAGTACCATCCTGACTTTTAGACATCTGGGGGCTAATAAAACCTTTGATGTAGAGTATTAGTCGCCTGCATTGGCAATTTTATGCTGTTTTTGCGATTTTGCCATGCGTGGTGTTCTGAGTGAAGGGCCAGCACCACCCCCACCATCTACAACAACAATAACATCAGAGTGTTGGTCTCACTGACTGCTCACCCATGCCTTTTCTGGAAGCTTCACATTCATTCTACTTGTTATTTTCTATCTACTGTAAAATCGCCATGCGTAAGGATAAAAAAGACAAGGGAGATTCTGATATCCCCTTTTAGTTGCTAAAATAGGCCTTATCAGCCAATCAACACGGTCCACACACCTCTAAATGTCCCATTCTATGTCATTTCTTACTTTTCACAGCAAATAAGACTAATTTAATTTGGTTAAGTAAAGATCCACTTTTAAAGTAGCGTTAAATCATACCATTAAGGGAAGAGGTGGAAGACCTGAAGGCCATAAAGGTGGGAGGGAGTACAAGCCACTGCACAATCAAAAAGCTGGATTGTCACCTACCTGAAGTGTTGTCAGTTTTCCTTGATGCCTCTCCATTGTCGCCTTAAAGAATTCTTCCTAATTGGACATTTTATGATGAGCATCTGCTTATGTGCCTTAGTTTTCATGCTAAAAAGTCCAATCTTTTTAATACTTTAGATGTTTGCTTAGCTTTAAGCTTAAGGCTCCGTGGATTGTACTTTCACTGAGCGGCACAGCCTCTAGGCCATGCCAATATCCCTTAGCCATTCTGTGGGCCTCCAACACACATTCTACCCAAGCATAATAGTTTCTTTCGTCTCTAAGACATACTTGAACCTCTCTAGCCATGTCTCATCGAAACTTATCTTCTTTTCAAAAGGTTAAACAACGTAGCCATTCATCAATGGAACATTAGGCCATGGTAAGTACGGAGGTTTAAGGGCGTCTTAGATGTGATGGGCGTGGCTAACGAACTTTCCATTTCAACTTCTAAACTTGAATTAATCCAATTCCTAGAATTAAGTCGGTTTAAAACAGAAAATATTTTTTAAGTAAAAATATGTCATTGGTCCTGTGGAAGAGAAAGAGAGTGAATCTTTTTCTCCCTCGAAAAGAATCGACAAGGGAAGTGTTTTTTTTTTGTCATTTCAGCACAATGCTGTGTTTTTAATGTGTTGGCGTAAGAGTGAAAGTCGCCCAAACGTCTGTTGCCACATCTCGTCTAACGGAAGGGTACATTTTACCCATTTGGTCTCCAATTTCTCTACTGCTGGATTTAGATGGTGATTCAGGAGAAGGATCTTTTGGATATACCAAAGCACACGCATAACAAACAGGTGAGTTGGCAGTGAATAATTAATGAAATAGGTTAATAGATTGTTAGGAAAAAAAATACTCGAAACAAGGTTGTAAATAGAATTTGTCACTTCTTTGAGGCAGTCCATTGTCGATGAGTACAATTGTTACGTATTTGAGTATACAAGAGAGATCTCCCCTATGAGAAATAACTTGAACTTCTTCCTTTTTCTGTTGCCTTTGATCTTCTGCACTGTAATGTTACCCACGGTAACTGAAATACCTTGTTTGCTTAACTCTCGTTTTTTGGTAAGGTGGCCCTCAAGCCTTCCCGAATTTACTTCTGCTTGGCGGCACGGCCTCCGAGCCATCCCTGTTACCCTTTAACCCTTCTATATATCGGCACTGCATATTCTGCTTCACCATTTCCTTCCTTTTTCTTCTGGAAAGACTAGGGGCTCAACATACCAAACAAAACAGTTTTCTTCTCACTTACAGTCAAATCAACTTAAAAATAAATTAACAAATCCGCCTCTTTATTTTTTTTCAAGAAGTGATTTGCTCCGCTTCAACAGCAGTGGCGCTTAATTTTATAAATGATCTTGAGTTAAATTTAGTACTTTTGAAAGACAAAGACATTTTAAATAGACGTAAAATTAATTGGAAGAAAAATCTTGGCATTTCTATTACAAAAACAGAGCTGTTGGTGCTTAATCAATTCGTTGGAGTGACTTCGTGTCATCAAGATTTAAAGTAATTGCTCAAATGCGGTAACCTTGGCAAAACCTTTGCATGGTTTAAATGCTGCGCTCAAAGTCCTACGTGAAATTGCAATAAGTCAAAGTAGCAAAGGAAAGGGTATACATTAGTAATGCAGAGAACAGCTGGAAGACTATTAGCATGACCCAGAGGTCACGGAGCAGGGGGGAAGTACATCCTGCCGCAATTAGAGCACCTGGGTGGTGTGATGCTTAGTTAACCTGGCTACCAGATCACAACTATATTCCTTATGATTTGCTTATGGCGTCTGAAGCTGAAATTTGTGAGGAACGCAAAACTCTTGACGTTTGGCATTTACTTCTGAAGATCATTTCCGAATCATGGATTTGAAGTGGTGAAGGATCTACTTATTTACACAATAAAGGTGAAAGTAAATTGCACCTTCAATGATTCAAGTACTGAGTAAGCCTCTCTCACTCTGTCAGTACTTTTCCCAATTAAAAACAAGGAATATGTTTTGACTATCAGAAAAGAATTCAAGTGACACCTAAGAGTCATCGATCATGATACTGTAGTAGACTCAGTGTTTCTGTCTTTAACCTCAGCTCTCATGCCCACGGAACGAGCAGATGAGTTGGACAAAGACATCCTTTATCTGGTGAGGATTAGTAAGGGGGTACTATTGCACCTTTTTAGTGCATTCAGGGCATGTTTTTTTCGTCCTCAGGGGGCTGACGCCATCCGACTTGTCACGAGGTTCGCATATACGGATCGCATCTCGCCCAAAACCTACATTCAAGCAGACATGTACTGCGATATAAAACCGAGAAGTAGCACTGTTGACATATATTGGATCAAAAAAAGGCCTTATACCTTGACAACCCCTTAAAAACCACACTTAAAACTTTTTTAGTTTTTTCATGAAGGTCACTGTAATATCTTAGTTGTTTGTTTAACTTTCAGACGACCTGACGTCGACAGTATTCTGCTTTGATATTATTCCTTTTTACGTCTCGAAGCGCTACGGTCACAAATAGTGGCTTTCCTCTGCAGAACTTAGACCCTTTAATTTGACTCAAAAGAGGACAATCAAATTGTTTTTCATTACATTGTTTACAAATAACAGAATAATGCTAATAATATAGGCCTAGCTGGTTTAACACATGTGGGTTGAATGCAGTAGGTCGTATGTGGCAATCGTCAAAAGGAAGCATAAAACCTTATTTGTTTCATAAATGATGTTGTAGCGCCCAAGACTTCCCAGAAGGCGAAAGAAGACATAAGACTTGGGCAGAAAATGTATTGCCGATGTACAGAAGGGCTGATTGGAGGAGGGAATACTGACATGGCCTGGAGGTCATGCCGCCCAGTGGAAGTACAATTACGCAGCCTTAAGTGCCCGTGCAAACAAGAATGTGCGCTTAAGCCAGTAATTAAAGCATTACATAGCCACTCCCTTCTTTTGAGCGCTCTCCCTAGTTAAACTCTAGCGCCGGCCGTCGCTAGGTAAAAAAAATACCCACGAAGTTATCGCAATGGTCGTCAAATTTGCGTGCAACTGAGAAGATATTTGACTCCAGCGTCACTGATTCCTCTTTGCAATTCCACTGCATCCGGAGTTTCGTCCTGTTTAGGAACTGCATTAGGGAAATGGTGAATGTTCCGACCATCTTGTATGTCCATCGCTAGTCGCGTAGAGAGGAGTAGAG